TACAGATTAAGCCATAGAAGCTATAAATTGACTCCGCTAGTGCCATATCTCAAACAGATATGGCATACGACCGTAAGACGAGTGCTCTTGTCGCTCGACATCAACAAAGCTTCTGGTCCGGATTTGATTTCTGCCATTGTACTGAAGAGGTGTGCACCGGAGCTTGCTCCAGTTCGCTTCCAGATATCTTATGAATCCGGCACCTTCCCAGAAAACTGGAAATTTTCGATGTCTAACCCATCCTAAAAAAGGATAATAATAATAATAATAATAATAATAATGATCACAGAGCATTACAAAAGCTAATAACAAATCATGTTAGTGTGGACGCACACATATTCGTACCACATATGGCATATTCCAAATATGGATACAGATAAATCAAATTACCGTATTGATAAAATTTATAAGTATAAAGCATATATGTATATATAAAAAATCGAAATAAAGGACAAACCATTAAGTGACATTCAAACAAAAATCATCAAAATCAAACAGCTTTCTCCAGAAGAAAATTGTTTAACTGTTCTCTTAAAAGTGTTCAGTGGTTGTGATTTCAAATTATTGGGGAGTGAAAAACTTAATAGCCATGTATCTAGGGCTCTCTCCGTTCTCGCCAATCTATGCGACGGCACCTCCAATGCTTGAATGTTCCTTGTAAAGTAAGCACCAGTGCTTACAGAATTGAACTTGCTCAATTGTGTTTTAGCAAGGATAAGTTTATTGAGTATATATACAGATGGTAAGGCTAAATTCTTTAATGTTCTAAATCCTTTCTTGCGGCCCGCTTCACGGGTCATGTATACATCACATGTATAAATTACTCTCAAATACCGAATATGCACAATTCTTACATTAACTCTATAATAATGTGGTATAGAAAGATTTTATAATGCGGCGCTCCAAACTGCATTTTTTTGAAGTGGCCCTTGGGCCACATTAAGTTGGACAGCCCTGTTCTAAATGAATCCTTGCTGCTAGTGAGCCTTCCAATTTTAGCTATTACTCGAACAGCCTTTTTTGCAACACAAAAAGTCTTTGCAGCTGGGACGATGCTCCCCATGCTTCTATTCCATAAATTAGGACTGAATGGATATGTGCATGGTAAAATATCAGTAATATCCACTTCTCCACAACAAAACTTAACTGGTACAGACAGTAACAGAGTGGGGCGATCTTTTGAGATATATATATACAGGGTGACTTTGAAGTTGAGTCATTAATTTTCAGATAATGATTGTAGAAGGAAGATAAACCAAAATATGTGTGTTAAAATAAAAAAAAAATAAAAAAAAAATTTTACCTTGTTTTATAAAGTATCCTCCCGACAAGTATTTCAGTGCGGACCTGTATTTGATCGTGAGGTCCCCTGTGAGGTCTTAAGTCACCTGATTCACAAGCCCGTTGTACTACATTAACAAAGGCACGAGGGGTTGGTTGCACTCGATTGGGAAACCGATCCGCATAAACATGTGCCATTTTTTATTTCGTTTGAGCCACGCAACACATACCACTATTCACTGACACTAACTGTATACAAATGAATGAGATACCTGTAAAAACATCGTTCCAAATTCTTTCGCTTTTTTGTTTCCGATGCGATGAACCGATACGGCGGATTATATCCATTGTCGCCAAACACGACCACATAATATTGTTATTGAGACAGGGCGGTACTCAAACTTCCAAAGGGCTATAACTTTGTTACTTTAATTTTACCAGGAAAATGGTAAAGGAAAAAAACATTTCTTTTGATCAGATCTACTCACTGTTAAAATAAATGACTCAACTTCGAAGTCACCCTGTATATATATATCCCTAAAAATTTAGTCGCATCCACTTGTTTTATCGATTTGCCAAACGATTTTATTAATAAAGTGTGATCCATCGTGAGGTGGAAAGGTTAAATCTAAGGAAAACAGATTTCTGATTATTTAAGATGAGCCCATTATTGCTGAACCACTTACTTGCACCAGTCAAGCTTGAATTGGCAAGTCCTACAACAGATTCTAGGTTTTTACCATTAACAGGTAAAGAAGTGTCATCAGCATACATTACCGAGCAATCGGAGAGGAAGTCATTGACGTACATTATGTATAAGAGAGGACTAAGTATGGAACCCTGTGGCACACCAGTATGGTAGAAATGTTGGCTGGACTGTGCATTTTGTACCTCGACATGATGCTTTCTATCGGACAGATAGCTATGGAACCAGTCAAATGGCTTCCCTCTGATTCCATATCTATCTATTTTATCTAGCAGAATAGCATGGTCAACCAAGTCAAAAGCTTTGCTTAAATCAAAAAATATACCTATGCATTTTTCTCCTTTATCCATCTTGAGATATAAAACATCTAGGAAACGAAGTACGGCATTTTTGGTTGACATGCCTTTTCTAAATCCAAACTGATTACTATTAAATAATTTGAATCTGTCAAAGAAATTGATGAGTTGCAGAGAGACATATTTCTCAAACACCTTCGAGAAGGGACTAAGAAGTGAGATATGTCTGAAGTTACACATACCAAACGTATCTCCAGACTTAAACAGCGGCCTAATTTTTGCAATCTTAAGTTTGTCGGGAAAAATTCCTTCTTCGATGGAGCAGTTAGTTAAAAAAGCAAGAGGATGGCAAACGATGTCAGATGAAAATTTTAACATGTTAGTGCTAATTCTGTCTGCGCCAAAAGAATTAGAACCTTTAAGATTTTTTATAATAGCTGATATGTCATTTGCTACAGCAGGTCTGAGATAAAATGAATGAATGTTCCTATCTATATTAATACTACTATTTCCCACTTTGTTATCTACGTATAGGTCTGTAATACTATTAAAATGTTGCATAAATTTATCGGCCACCTCTTTTGGTTCTGCTATTAATTCATCTTTCAGTTTTAATTTAATTACTTCATGTCTAGATGCATTTTTATTCTGTTTTTTTACATTCCAAGCGGTCCTCGTTTGATTATTAGAATTTAATATCAATGCGTTATAGTGTAAACGTTTTGCTGCTCTTAAAACTCTAGAATATACTTTTTTATATTTCATATAATGGTCCTCCAGACCTAGACAGATCATACAGGTAGTGCAGCTTATCTCTTGATATCAATATACCTTTAGTTACCCATGGTTTTCTGGCTTTACATGTTTTAATAGTTTTTTGTATTACTGGAAATGCAATATCAATATAATACTGATATGTTTGTAAGAAAGCATCAAATTTCTCATTTATATTTCCAGTCGAATGGTAAATATGATCCCATGTCTCTTGACTTAGAAGAGCTAGAAAGACGTCGATGTTAGCTTTATTGTGTTTGTCTCGGTATTGGTAGGATATTTTCGGTGGTTGCTCTTCTTTTTAGCAGTTCAATGATAATAATTGAGCAAAGTGATCACTAATATTTCATTTCACACTCTACATCCACTCTAAGACCATTACAACTACAGGCCTATAGCTCTGCTTTCTGTAATGGGTAAGGTGATGGAGAGGTGCATAAATCGCGTACTTCTGGACTATGTACCTCGATCGTCACAGCTTGATTAGCGACAGGCAGTATGGTTTCCGGCACCAGCGATCCACAGGCGACTTCCTAGCTTTTGTCATGCAATTGTGGAGTAAACTCATTCAGTCTTATGGTGAGGCTCATGTCTTTGTTCTTAAGATCACGAAAGCGTTCGATCAGCTGTGGCACGCTGCCCTCTTAAGCAAACGTCCATCCTATGGCCTCCTAGAAAAGCTTTGCAAAGGGGTGGTTGACTTTATCTCTCGTTGCAAGGTACCCGTCGTAATTGACGGGTTCTCCTGGTCATCCCACAACGTCAACGCGGGTGTCCCCATGAATCGGTCTTGGCTCAGACACTGTTCCTCTTACATATCAACGACCTCAATTCCTGCACATCAACCCAATCCACAGCTTCGCTGATGCCAGCCCTCTACATGCAGGAATTCAGAGTGACAAGCCGATCTCTGCCGCTAAGCTGAAAAAAGACGACTAGCGACGACTTCCTCTGTGACGAGATACCTGGAGGTTATCACTGCTTGGAGACGCAACAATGTTTTACAGTTCAATGCTTCGAAAACACAGTACTGTACAAAGAGCCATGCCTTTCGGCTGGTCGGAGTCCAGATCACCGAGGACCTGATCTGGCACGAACACATAGCGGCAGCTGCTGGGAAAAAGTTAGGCTATTTGCTTAGGGCTAAGAAGTACTTTTCTCCGCATGGCCTTCTCACTCTATACAAGGCCCAAATAAGGCCTAGCCTCGAGTATTGGTCACATGTTTGGGGTGCTGCCGCCCCGACTACATTACTTATGTTCGATGCTCCCCAGAGGAGGGCTCTCCGTCTGATGATATATGATTCTTCTTTAACAGACTGCGTACACCCAGAGTTGGCCGATACGACCACTCCTTCGTTCCGAGTTTGTCGAGATTATGGAACAATCTACAAGAGGAAGCTTTTCCCAGTTCTACTAACCTTAGCCAGTTCAAAAATCGGATTCACAAAATTTCTTTGGGATCATCATAGCAGCCGCGGTGTCCAGGCATTTACGTTTTTGCCTGCGCGGCTACTTCGATACAAAGACAAAAAAGATGTAACATCACATCAGAGCCAAACCATATAGCTCAAGTGTCATGATGTTTAGGCAACACGCACAACTAGTACAAGTGAACATAAAGTGGACAGCTAGTTCCAAGGTGACATTTTTCGAAAAAACCTACATAATATCATTTAAAACCATAACTAGTCACTTTTTAAGTAACGTAATACAGGTGATCAATGCTCCGTGAACAATTTCATGAAGTACGCTTTACCGGTCCATAGATAAATGTGATTATGGGTTGCTTTCAATTTTAAAGGATTATTGTCGTAAAATAGGTGTATCTCTCTCAGAAAGAACATAATTATTACACTCTATAACCTCTATGAGAATGTATGTTGATATTTTTCTCAAAACACAGGCACGGGCAAAATCACTTACATATTCATCTTGTTCCAGGTATGTTTTCGACTACATCATCCCATTTTTGTACTCAATATCCATGGTAAGTTATTAAAATTTTCTCATAAAGGTTTCCTGTGTAACCCTGTAGGTAGACCTGAAGGCAGCTCAGAATTTTACGTCTCATGCATGTGGAAATAAAGTGCAGGCAAAATTTCCCTTTGTCTCTCACACATACACACACAGAGCACTTTGAGAGAAAAAACGGCTTCCGTGGCTTTAAACTTCACATGGACTGCCTGAGAGCTATTCTATCCATTGTCTTGAAGCCTTCGGAAAGTTACCGGTGATTTGATTCGTTCCTTTTTCCGACTTCCTAGACTTTGTGACATATATTTTTTGCTTTGAGCACAATAAATACGCAAGCCGTGTTTGATCCTTCAACAGAAAATTTTGTGAGAGGCAAGTATTGTTGTTGAAAAATAAACCCAATTGGAGTTATGTTTCCTTGATATTTATGCCTCATCTGTCAGGAAGTATAAATGGAAATACATACTGACTAGGTAATGACCAACTAACGGCAAGACTGATGTATAGAGGATAGACACTGTTGTTCATTCATGATTATACCTGTACATTTTTTTATTTTTGCATACTGACTTACTACATAGTCTTAGGGCATCATACGTTTCGACGTATCAGGGGATTATTCGAGAGGAGCGTGGAATCTAATATCTCGGTTATGTATATAATTTTATGTTGCTAAAAAACATGCTTCATATTGATTGACCAATACGCTCTGTAAATGAAAGTCCCAACTTTGTAATCATGGCCAATCTTTGATAATCCGATAGCTATTTGAATTTTGGAAATAGGTCCCTTTTATGTAACAATAGAAAATACCGACGCCAATGGTATGTAGATGGCTTCTACTTGAAACTTTTGGCTAAATCGGAGTATAAGAAAACACAAGCTGGGTGTGAAGAAACAGTTAATTGGAATTAAAGTTTTAGGGAGATTCTAAAATAAGCTTTTTAACGTTTTGGAAGTAAAGTCGTCTCAGTTTTGGAACTAATACGAGAAAGGAAGAAAAAGCGACCTTTACAGGGTGTTCCGATAAAAATTGTACTTTTGGACCTCCGCTAAAGGGCTATTACTTGAATAAACTTGAACGACACTATAATTAATTCGAATTTTGATAGTATAGCAACCAATTGGCGCATCACATGAGCACTTAAATAGCCAGAGGCGGACTAGTTCTAAAACAATATTTCTGAATTTTTAACACAAACATATTTTTGAAGAATAATAATATTTATTCATCATTAGACAGTTTTGTTACAAATCTTATTGGGATGGTCAAGGATGGAAAATCGGAAGATAAAAATGGGATATACACATTAAAATCAAATATAATCCTTTAGATGAGAAAAATGAGAAAAAGAGAAGTTTTTTAAAAAAGTTGTTTCAATATAGTTTTTTTTATAAAATGCGATCTTTACATGGAGTACTTGTAGAAGATGATAATTTATCGGTTGTATACAGGGTTATCCAAATTAAGGGTCCACCATTAGTAACTTTGTTATTAGTGAAAATACAAAGTTGTTTGAATTAGCAAACTAGTAGCATTTTTAACGCTGGTAAAAATGAGAAATAAAAAAAAACAATTGAGAGTCGTTATTTTGATTTTTTTCAGTAAAATAACATTTTTTTAAATGGAAACCCCTGTATATTATATTTTTTTCTGTTAAAGCATCAAATTTTAAACAAAAAAGCTTACAATAACTTTTCTCCTAGGTTACAAATTGTTGAAGTTATGGCCTCCAATCTGAAACAATTAAATTGTATCGACAAACTTTATTTTCAACATCAACTTATAATCTTACAAAATACAATAACAATTTTTTTTAAAGAAGATGCTCGAAAACACCACCTTGTTCTTCAATACATTTTTGGGCACGTTTTTCAACTGCTCGAACTGTCTTAAGTATGGTCCTACCATCTATCTGGGTTGTCTTTTCCCTAACTGCAGTCTTTAACGCGTCAAGGTTATCGTACCTTCGCTTGTAAATTTGGTTCTTTAAGTAACCCCACAAGAAGTAATCAAGTGGGTTTAGATCTGGTGATCTGGGAGGCCACTGTATTGGGCCATTTGTTCCTATCCACTGATCATTAAAAGTAGTACTTAGAAAATGATAAGTACCTCTGGAGTTGTGGGCAGGTGCGCCATCTTGCTGAAAATGCAGATGATGTCTACTTATAAGATCCAATTCGTCTAAGAAATTAGTCAGAATTTCTGACATAAATTCCACATATCTTTCACCAGTTAGGGTTCCCTCATAAAAGAACGGGCCAACAATTTTTGAACCAATTATACCGCACCAAACGTTGAAACTGAAACGGACTTGTGGGCCTCTTGGATGTACTAACAAAAGATTTTCTCTTGACCAATAATGGTGGTTTTTTCTATTAAACATTCCAGAATTTGAAAAATTTGATTCATCTGTCCATAAAAGGTAACGAAAGTTATTTACATTTTGGCGACAGAAGCTAAGATACCAATGGCAAAAAACAAGTCTTCTCTCTGGATCCCCTGCCAAAAGCGTTTGAACTGGTCGGTACTTATACGGAATAAATTTGTATTTTTTTAAAATCCTTTGAACAGTACCATAACTGAAATTAGAGTCCTTGAGAATATCTGCTATTGAATTCTCACGATAAGCTTCAAAATATCCAATAACTGCAATTTCCGTGGCCTCGCTTATTATGAATTCTTTTTTTGTCCTTGTTTTAGCAAAAACATTTTCGTTGCCCCTAAATTTTCGATAAAGTCTCAGAAAATATCGTTCATACGGTTGAATGCGAGCGGGATATAATTAATTGTAGTATTCTCTTGCTCTCAAGGAGGATTTTCTGCACACTAAATAGCATTCTAACATATCACACTTTTCTTCATGGGAGAACATTTTTCTTTAAATTAATGACACAATAAAGCTTATAAACAAGTATTTACACTAATGTTTGACATTATTTGATTTTATCATTGTTTTCCAAAGCCTTCTAGTTGCGAGTATGTCCAGTTTAACAATTTGTCGCTTATCTTAATGCTGTCAAATCGCGAACGCCATGTTGTTTTCATAGCCGTCTTAATATTATAATACTGCAAATAATTAAAAATATTTATCGTTATTTTGACTTTATTTTTGACTTTAGCGGAAAAGTCATTATGAACTTTTTTGTTTAAAATTTGATGCTTTAACAGAAAAAAATATAATATACAGGGGTTTCCATTTAAAAAAATGTTATTTTACTGAAAAAAATCAAAATAACGACTCTCAATTGTTTTTTTTATTTCTCATTTTTACCAGCGTTAAAAATGCTACTAGTTTGCTAATTCAAACAACTTTGTATTTTCACTAATAACAAAGTTACTAATGGTGGACACTTAATTTGGATAACCTTGTATAGAACGCACAAAATAATGCCACAAGTGCCAGGGGCGGACTAGACCTAAAGCAAGATTGTTAAAACATCCTTTATAATAACAGCTCAATAATATTTTTGGGGAATCAAATCCTTTAGCTGAGACAAATTAGAAATTGAGCAGTTTTGAGAAGCATCAGTTTTATTTCAATATAGTTTCATCAACTTCAATGCTGAATCTGTTATACGTATTACTTCTGAAGTTTTAAACATTAATTATTGAGCTGGAAAGCTGCTCAATCAAGTTTTATATTTTTGGGAATCCCTGCAGCGTGAATCTATGCGAACATAACATACAAGATTGTTTTTATTGAAACACGTCTCAGTTTCGATAATCAAAAAAGAGTAATTTTTTTACTAGAAGATTACGCGTTCCGAAAATATTTTGAGCTATGATTAAATAAAAATCCAGCCTGCTAGTCCATTCCTTGCTCTAAATGAGCTAGTTGCTTTTCACGAAAATCATAATGCGACCTAACTGGTTGCTCTACTCTTTCATCAAATTATACAGTTCAAAAGCTAGTTAGAAAAAAACAATTGTCAGCAGGAGAACCCTGTGCAAAGTCTTTTTATAGGAACTTTTAGCTTTATTTTATTATAGGTATCCGAGTGACTGCCATCTCAGTATGGGGCATCCTGTATAATAATTCCTATCCAAATTTCTTTAAACAATTTGACGCGCCCAGAATAAAGAACTTTGAAACTACTAAAATAAATAGTTGGTTCTGCAGTTAACTTCGTAAAAGCTTAAAGGACGCGCTGAACGAGTGAATAAGACTCTTTTTCCATAGAACCTTGTTCATCTCAGAAGCCGTGTTAGGAGTTCTTAGAGGTACAAAGCAGCGTAAGCTGAAGTACGATCGAACTTTCGTACAAACTTTGTTGACGATATACAATGCTGCTCTCAAACAACCGCCATTCAAATAAAACCTGAAGTTTATATGGATCTTCTCTATAACGAAGTTTGCTCTCTTAGATAGAAGTTCTGTTAGCATAATTCACTTGACAATCCAGAATACGTTCGCTATGTCAGGTCGACTGATTTTTGGAAGTGCTGCTCAAAGGAATGCAATTATATTTGTTTACTCAAGTATTCGATCCGTTTTTCATTAACAAGATAATTGTAAGTATAAGTTGATGTATTTAATTTCTGGATGTCGCAGTTTTGTGGCATGGAGGCTTGCCTATTTCTAATTAAGTTCTTATGGAATAAACTGTATACAGGGTGTTTCAGTTTATTGTTGCATAACTTTAAGATTCGATAGAACTTTTAAAATTAATGCATAAAGTATATATAAACATGGGTCGAAAAATGCGTGGCTTCCGAAATACAGGGTGTTTAAATTTACTTTCTAAAATAGTTTTTTTTAAATATTTCGAACAATATTTGATGCATAACAGTGAAAATTGGTATACAAGGGTTTTTTGGTACGACAAATCCAATGGGCATAGTTTTACTGTAGCCGCTAGAGGGCGCTCTCTACTGTACCTGTAGTGTATTAAAATGACCGAAAACTTAGTGCAATTTTTTGCTTTTTGAATAAAAAAAATTATTCTTCGCACTTTTCAACATAAAAAAGCTCTCTTGTGAATTTTCGTTATAGTTAGCCGTTTTTGAGT